TTGGATCTAATGGAAATTCTTAGCTGGGTGAGCACTAGCTGGCTACACCAGAAGGTTTGGTGACACTGTGCATTATAAGAGAACATCTTGAAAAAGTGGCTTTTGCTTGTTCATGCTAACCATGTTGCAGTGTGTATTTTTGTTGCCAGTAGCTAACGTTCTGTCACAAGAGCAGCTGCTAACAATATGTATCTGGCACATCTATGAGCAGGGTTAGTTGAACGTTTGTTAGTGGCACAGCGTCCTTATGTAAGCTTCCATTGTAGGCATAAACTTCGGTTGAAAGCACTTTATTTTTTTTCGTCACATATGTGATCTTCTTTATAGTTTATTTTTACCTTCGCAAATTGTGAACTAAAATGTTTCCAAAATAGAGTTGAAACTCTGCCTTTTTCAGACTAATGATCACAGTGGTGCATTTTGCACTAACAGTGCTTGTTTCCTGTGCAAAAAACATTCTGCAACATGAGAAGTATGAGTGACATTGCGCATAATTGTTTTTTGAGGGTTGTCACAGAAACCGGCTGTTCTAGAAACCGACGGGGGTCGTGCTGACGTCTGCGGAAGAATAATGGCTAGTGAAGTAAACGACCGCCTTCGGCGGATGAGCTCGCAGCCATGCGCGTGTCAGGTTACGCAGGGAGCGCTTCGTTGAAGCGACCGCATGTTCGGTGTTTCTTCGTATACACAACCTAGAGTGGTTTTGGGGGGTACACAGGTCTCTGCAGCCCCAGATTTACGAGGCGAGCTGGCGGCTCGCTGTTTGAATGTGTTTTTCGTCAGCGCTCGAATTGCCTGGCGGGTCTTAGTGTTTAGAAGAACCCTGCTTTAGGGTCAGGGGTCAGACCGAGGGGGCAACAACCTACCGTGGGAACAAAGAGAGTGCGGGAACCGCGGGGTCGCCAGGACTGACAGTGCGAGAGAGAACTCTAAGGCGGACGGTCGCATCGCGACGTCGAGGGATACGGCGAGACACTGTCGACGGCCCCACGCCAGGCACGGGACGAAGCTTCCAGTGAGTGTGCGACCGCAAAAAGTGGGCGTGCGGGGCCAGTGAGCCGCGCCCACGGTGTGCCAAGCCACCCGCCGGAATTTCTCCACCTCGGACGGACCGCGCAGGGAGACGCCAGCACCTCTACGCCAGATGAGACTTTTTCTTTGCACTCACTTATCCCCCTATTTTAGTTTACCATTTGGACTCTCTTAAACTTAGTATTTTTCTAGTACTGTCTAGGCAACCCCGAGCATGAAATTGTAACCGTTATACTGTGTGTACCTGTGCTATCTGCCGTTTGATGTCTACGTGATTTTTGCATACTATATAGCGCCTAATTGTCTACTAAACCCCTGTCAAATTAAACGTCATTTATATATCCCACACACGCCTCCGTCTCTCTTCATCGGTAAGACTCTCCACCAGAGCGTGGCCCTATCGCTCGGTCAGCGGTCCCCTTCTTTCACACCGTCACTCGGGAGGCCTACCGCCTTCCTGTGACATAAATTGGCGTCCGCGACAGGACTTGCTGACCACGGTGGAGAGGCTTCCATGACGAGAGAGAGAGCCGAGCATAGAGGCAGCTTCTTTAGAACGGATAGTGATTTCTGGATTGTTGAGGGGAGCCTTGTCGCGTAACGGATTGCCTGGTGCGACAGAAACATGGAGATAGGCGACCTTATTTCGTACGGAAAGCAGCTCGGGCTTGAAGGTTCAGCCCTCAAGGAATGGGTAGACTCCGAGCGGGCGAGGGGCGAAAGAGAAAAGGCCCTAGAGAGAGAAGCAAGGGCTGAAGAAAGAAATTCAGCCAAGGAAGAGGCTCGGGCCCGAGAAGATGCCGAGTTTCGATCGCTGGAGCTGAGAGTAAAGCTCGAAGAGGCCCAGATCAAACTACGAGAAGCCCAGAACGCGGCGACGCCTCCGCCAGCAGCAGGTGGAGGAACCGAGGGGGCCGGGCAAACTCTGGGAAAGAGCCCCCAGCGCTGGTTGCCAGCATTCAACGAGGAGAAGGACGATCTGGACGCGTACCTTCTGAGATTTGAGAGGCTGGCCACGGGACAGCGATGGCCACGGGAGCAGTGGGCCACCGCACTTAGTGTCTGCCTCACCGGAGAGGCGCTCGGGGTGTTTTCGCGACTGACCCCGGAAGACTCGGCTGACTACGACAAAGTTAAAAAAGCGCTCCTTCAGAGGTTCCGCCTGACAGCCGAGGGCTTCCGGGAGAAGTTCAGGGACGCGAAGCCGGGAAAAGGGGAGACGGGCACCCAGTTTGCTGCCAGGTTGGCCAGCCTTCTCGATCGGTGGGTCGATCTGTCAGAGACGGCAAAGGATTTTGACGCCTTAAGAAACCTGTTGCTCACCGAGCAGTTTATTCGCGGAGCGCCCCCAAAATTGTCTTTGTTCCTCCGGGAAAGGAAGAGTAGGGAACTGGGCGACATGGCAGAGCTGGCTGACCGGTACTTAGAGGCACAACAACAGGAGACTCACGGCAAGGGTGGTGGGGCTGACGAAGCGACACGGGCCAAGCAAGGTGCAAGGCCTTCGGGGAGCTCGCGCCCGCCCAGGAGATGCTTCCTATGTGATAGAACTGGACATCTGGCCGCTGACTGCAGGGCCGGCTTTTCCATCAAGAAGTCCATCGCGTGCCGACAATGCGGAAAGACCGGACACGCAGCAAGCCAGTGTTGGAGTAGGCCCCATGAGAAGAACAAGGTTTCCTGTCTCAGGGAGACCCCAGAGTCGCGAAATACAACCGCAAGTTGTGTTCAAGGGGGCTATGTGGAGCTCAAGGATGGGACGAAAGTACCTGTCCTGAACGCGGTGTCGGAGCCGGGGCCGCTGATCACGAATATGCCGGTCACGGCAGGGAAAATACAAGGCAAGACAGTTAGCGTCCTAAGGGACACGGGCTGTAATACTGTGGTGGTGCGCAGAAGTTTGATCACTCAGGCCGATCTGACGGGAAAGTCGAGTCCCGTCTATCTAGTAGACGGCACTGTGCGAATCCTGCCTGAGGCAAGGGTGCACGTGGACACGCCCTTTTTCACGGGGGACCTAATCGCCAAGTGCATAGAGAACCCGCTTTACGATGTCATCCTCGGAAACATCCCGAACGTTCGCGCCCCGGGAGACCCTGATCAGAGTTGGAACCTGCCCAAGGCAGAGAATGCAGGAGCGCCACCCAAGGGGAGCGGAGAGGAAGAGGAAGCATCCCCCGCCACCGCAGCTGTGAAGACAAGGAGCAACAAGCAGAAGAAAAAGACGAGTACTCCCCTTCGGGTCCCGCTGATCGGCGGCGAACCTGAGAAGCCCGAGAAACTGGCGGAGCAGCAGAGGAAAGACAATACCCTGAGGAGCTGCTTTGAACGCGTGGGGAAGGTCTGGAGATGGCGGAAAAGTGGCAACAGATTAAAAGCAGCGAAAATGTGGGAGCGGATTACCTGAGTCGGCTTTAGGCGCCCTCGGCGCCCAGGCTGATATGCACCTCGAGAAGACCCCTGCCAAACTATCGAGTATGAGTATCACAACGTTTCGTCGCGTTTCGCAATATTTCTTTTTTTTTTTTTGTGTGTGTGTTAAACAAGTATGAGTTCTGTGTGCATAGTATGTATCACCGGCAAACTTTGTGCAACAAAATATGTGCCACAATTTTTTTTGGGGGGGGAGGGCTTTGCAGAGTGTTGTGTTACTTACTACCTTGGCTGCAAGTGTTTCTTTTACTGTAGAGTGCAGAGATGCCGTTTCATTTAGTAGAGCTACTAGTTCCGTAGCATGTGTGGTGTGGGCCGTTTTCTTGTGCTGTTTCCTATATTCACGAGTGAATATTTTTAAGTGGGGGGTTGTGTCACAGAAACCGGCTGTTCTAGAAACCGACGGGGGTCGTGCTGACGTCTGCGGAAGAATAATGGCCAGTGAAGTAAACGACCGCCTTCGGCGGATGAGCTCGCAGCCAGGCGCGTGTCAGGTTACGCAGGGAGCGCTTCGTTGAAGCGACCGCATGTTCGGTGTTTCTTCGTATACACAACCTAGAGTGGTTTTGGGGGGTACACAGGTCTCTGCAGCCCCAGATTTACGAGGCGAGCTGGCGGCTCGCTGTTTGAATGTGTTTTTCGTCAGCGCTCGAATTGCCTGGCGGGTCTTAGTGTTTAGAAGAACTCTGCTTTAGGGTCAGGGGTCAGACCGAGGGGGCAACAACCTACCGTGGGAACAAAGAGAGTGCGGGAACCGCGGGGTCGCCAGGACTGACAGTGCGAGAGAGAACTCTAAGGCGGACGGTCGCATCGCGACGTCGAGGGATGCGGCGAGACCCTGTCGACGGCCCCACGCCAGGCACCGGACGAAGCTTCCAGTGAGTGTGCGACCGCAAAAAGTGGGCGTGCGGGGCCAGTGAGCCGCGCCCACGGTGTGCCAAGCCATCCGCCGGAATTTCTCCACCTCGGACGGACCGCGCAGGGAGACGCCATCACCTCTACGCCAGATGAGACTTTTTCTTTGCACTCACTTATCCCCCTATTTTAGTTTACCATTTGGACTCTCTTAAACTTAGTATTTTCTAGTACTGTCTAGGCAACCCCGAGCATGAAATTGTAACCGTTATACTGTGTGTACCTGTGCTATTTGCCGTTTGATGTCTACGTGATTTTTGCATACTATATAGCACCTAATTATCTACTAAACCCCTGTCAAATTAAACGTCATTTATATATCCCACACACGCCTCCGTCTCTCTTCATCGGTAAGACTCTCCACCAGAGCGTGGCCCTATCGCTCGGTCAGCGGTCCCCTTCTTTCACACCGGCACTCGGGAGGCCTACCGCCTTCCTGTGACAAGGGTCAGGTGCTTTGTAGGATGTTTTCGTGCAGACCAGGAGCTAGTAAACGGTAAATAAAGGGTGCAATTTTGCTTGCTTGTCAAATCGCAGGCGTCAAGAAGAGCTTGACTGCTGCGAGCAAAGGGAAGGACTGCGGTGTGCTCGCTCTGTGGTCGCAGCCAGCTGTGAACCACATGTATTGGGTTGCGGCTGCTAGCCAGGGCAACGGCGACCTTCTCGTGGACGCATGGACAAGCATCACAAGGCATGTGACCAACATCCATGAAGGCCACCCGGGATTGTACACAAGGTGCTTCCATGATCCCCTTGAGGAACGCGAATGGCTGGAGCCAGGTGAGTAGGCATTTCACATATTTTTAAAGGTCTTGTAAATTATTAGTAGGATTCCGTGTTTCCAGGCTTATTTCTTTATTTTCTGCGGTGGTGTTTTGTAGTTGGTGTTTTCTGGTGCACTTCCTGTGTCGGAAACAACAACATACTTGATAAGCATCATATATATCTTATCGCAATAAAGCGTTATACAATACTCCTTGGCACTTCAAGAACCGCAGTAAAAAAAGTTTGGCTCCTTGCAGAGGGTTACTAACTTCCCCCTTTATGTGATAGATTAAGATACTTGTACCTAGATTTAAGATCAGTTGTTATTTCTTCAAATTGTGCGTGTCTCAAATGTGAAACGCATCGTGGTCTGCTGCTACAACCCATTCTTGTCCAAACTACTTTGGGCAGTGCAAAAGTTATGTGCAAAACAACCTTTTACCTTGACCTAACGACGAATATAAGTATATCTCAAGACCTAAAAGAGGTCATTCCAACATGGGTAAGAGAAGGAAACGGAACAAGGGGATATTGTTCCCGAAGAAAGAAGCGTCCTTATGGAGACAGTTCATTGCAGACTGTATTCCATGCAAGGATAAGATTAGGGTTAGGGGTCTTTCGATTTTACCAAATTTCAAGAACACCGCCTCAGAGGTTACTTTTGGAGGTTTATCGGTAGATACCAGGTGTGGCCAGGCTGACCCGGCCTAAGAGCTGCAAACAAAACTACGAACTTCAGGGAGCCGCGGATGGGGGAGGGCCGGTCAAAAACAGTCCAACTGTACGTAAGGTAGCAGTAGCACAAAACTACCAAACCGCAACCTGTCGTTCGATTTAAAACGCATTTTAATTCTCTTTTTGGGGAAGTGCTCGTGTGACCTGGAGGGAGGCGGGGTAGGAGGGAGGGATGGAGGGTGGAGGAGAAGGAAGGAAGGAAGGAAGGGAGGGATCCGCGAGCCGCACTTCAACACGCAAAGAGTCGCATGCGGCTTGCAAGCCGCAGCTTGGCCACCTCTGGTACCCAAACCCGATTATATCGAACCTGGTTATTTCAACCCGAACCCGATTATATCGAACCTGGTTCGTTCAAACTATACTTTGTATCAAAATATTTCTGCACAGACTAGTAGCTGCAATGAAAATGCACAGCGAAAAATGCGGTTACATTGAATGAAAATTGCAGCGTCTTCCGATAGATTGACCTGCTGAGAGCGTTGTTTTGCTTTGCAACCTGGCTTTCACTCACCGCAGGCGGGTGCTTTGGGGAAAAGCCAGCTTGCAGAGCAAGCTGGCTTTTTTTCTTTTGAGCGGCTGCATCAACGGCCCGAAAACAAAAAGAAAAAAATTCTCTTCTGTGGAGGGCGAGGGTGAACCAGTAAAGCCTTGAAAAACAAAGAAGCAGCCACTGAATAGCCGCTTGGCGCATCCCTCATGACGTACAGACGTGCCTTTGAGAGTACACAACTTTTCTAAATGTGGCGTTCTTGTTTGTCGTCAAATTCATTAGAACTTTTATATCAAAATACCCGGTATATCAAATTGGTAGATGGTGTTTTGTTAACTCGAGTTAGATGGGTTTGACTGTAGTGCACACACACACAACCCCATTTGAAATTGCAAAAGAAAATTAGCTTCAATAAATAACATACAGTTTACCAACCTTTGAATGTTAACTTACCAAATCTTAGTCTTTACTGTTTTCTGATGCGAATTCTGATCCTGTTTTTCGTTGTTTTAGGCACACCTGCTCATGCAAGGTTCCAGGATGTTACGACGAGGAAGCAGCTGCTGAACGACCTGCGGCAGCTCTCCCCAGACACGCAGACATATGCGCTGGAATCATTTCATAGCGTGTTGAACGGCTTTGCAGCCAAGGCGTTCGCCTTCAGTACAGGAGGCATGCTTGCCAGGTATGTAGCTATTGAAAAGATCAAGAAAGAAACCCTTCAGTTGCCTACCATTTGAGGATAAAATATTAGCCTCCCTCTAGTATTTTTTGTATGTTTTCTGATTTGTGTGTTTTATGACAGTGTCATCATGATGCTGTGTTCTGGTGACTTCATCTTTTCATTTTGACATCCTAATGACAACTGCAGCAGCGACTGTATTGCAGCAGGAGGGGTAGATTTGCCATATATGGGACTCCACATACAGTTGCCAGTACATAGATTCACATTATGAAGCTGGTGAACCTTGAGGCCAGGGAACACCTGAGAATGTAATGATAGTAGACTTGCTTAGGCAGCTAGAAGCACAAGATACACATTGCTTTGCCACATTCCCTTTTTGTGTAGGACACGTCTGGCAGCCCTGCACTTTAATGAGAACAGTGACAGGGAGCAGGCCACAACCCAAGCAGGGGACTTGCAGTGGAAATTCAGGTCTCCCAAGGCCAGGAAAGGGCACCATGACGTCAATCCCAGGCTGACACCAACCACATATGGTAATCTAAGAAGAATTCTACCCCATGGTGCTCCATAATGTATTCCAGTGTTATTATTAGTGAGGGGTAGAAGCTGGAACCACTAAATGAGCTACGCTTTGAGTATCGGCACTCCGTTCCGCGATCTGCTAGTGGGTGTCGCCCTCTTGCCGCTTATTGCAGAGCAGACGCAGCTATGGATCATCACGATTCACAAATGTAACTTCCTTCACTTTAGATACCGTATTAGGAAGCTCATGTGATATTGTTTTGCTCTGTCATGGACTGTTGTAACATTTCTGAAAGATAAGAAAACGTTTCCTTTGATTACAGCTACAGCTTTAGATACCATATTTACTCGCATAATGAACACACTCGAATAATGGTACCCCACAACAAGTACCAATATTTGGATTTTTTTTTTTTTTTTTCGTAATGAATACACTTCCAATTTGCGGCTCCGCGAGTCTCGAATTGCGTCCAACTTGGCTAGCCACCAAGCCCACCAAGCCAATTTTCTTTTGCCGCTAAGCGGCCAGGCTAAGTCAAGCAAAGCCGCTCTCATAATTGCTGCAAGTGCGTAGTTGCGGAAGTGATCAGTCGTCAAACCGAGCAGCATGCACACTTGACGAAGCTTGGAACATTCTTCGCCTGTCAGATGCATTGATGTCAAAAATCACGCCATCGTCTGCGGTCCGCTTTCGAACAGTGAAATTGTGAAAGTGGTAGGCCTAAGAACGGTCGCTTTGCTGTCCGTGCTGAGCAAGCTTTGTAGGGTGATTTTCATTTGGCAAAAGGCATGCTGAAAGCGCCCTGAAAACGTTAGCAATTTATAAAGCATAATTACTGTGGCGCGCCTCCAACCAGTCATGGGTGCGCCTCACATCACTGGAGACGTGCCACAGTACCTTGTCGTGTCATATTGGCACCTAATACGACATTTACATGATGTTTGTAAATGTAAAAATTTTACCGTGCCTAATGAATGTTGCACCTCCCAGATATGTGTCAATTTTTTGGGGGAAAAAGGGTGTTCATCGTGCGAGTAAATACAGAAACTGGCAACACGAACTTTAAGCACCAAGGTGGTTGAAGTGTCGTTACTCTGAGGCGCAGCTTATTTAGTGGCTCTAGTCGAAGCACTCAAGGTTTTCTACTTTTTTAAAAATTTCCTAACATTTCACTGTAAAATTTTGGTTGTTTCGGCATCTCGGGAGGTTTCATCATAACGCAACTACTACCTATCTGCGCCTTGCTTCAGCTGCTATAGAGTCTAAGATTGGGGTTGAAACATTACATTTACTGGCAGTTCGAAGTCATTCATATCAATTGTTGCACTTGCAAAGAAACATGCATGGAATTTCAAGGCAGCGAGTTGCGAACAATGTTCAGATTTGTCGTACAGGCACCAAGTGTGAAACTTTCTACTACATATGAGAGTTTGCCACCAACACAATAAATCGAGACAGCTTTCAAGGTGAAGCATCTGGTGTTTTGAAAGTGAGATCTATGTCCACTTGCTGCTTCTCTTCTTACAGGCCGGGACGTAGGGAAATCTAACAAGGCTAATGCTCGAGACCACTGTCGAAGCATTAGCCTGAGACGATTGTGAGACTAGAAAAGAAGAGTTATCCACCTACAGTGTAATGGTTCAAAATAATTCCTATTACTAAAGGTTGAAGTGCCCACATACATGGTCTGGCAAAGCTCCAACACTATCTGAAACCTTCAGGTTCGGCCACACAGTCTAAATTTTCTGAAGCAAGCTTTTCGGCCCCGAAACTTGTTTCAGAAAAAGTTCCACCAACCACTGGTTGTTACAGCTATGTATGAAGAACTGGACCGTATTAGTGGTGTCAAGATTCTGTTTCTACCTCTAAAGCACAAGAAACAAAGGTCCGAACCCTGAGTGGTCTCCTTGGGGCATTTTTTGTAGTGTTAGTTGCTACTCAAAGTTAATCCCCAATCTTTGCTTTTTGTGGAGAACAGCACAGTCCTCTCCTTCATATCTTTATCTCATTCAGATGTGATCACATATTTACTGTGATGTGAACGTTTCCCTCCTGTTGGCAGAATGCTTAAATGTTAAAATTACTTTTGCAGAGTATGTCACAAAATTTCTGGTCAAGTCTGTGACACTCTGCGAGACGGCGCCGCCCCTGAGAGAAGCTTTCCAGCTCGATGCGGCCACACCACGACAACCCTGCATGAGCCATGGCTTCGTCAGGCCAGCAAAGGAAGACCTGGTTGCAGCGAGGGTTAGCCGTTTCGGAAAACGAGCACCAACCATTGCTCAGGAACAGTGGGGAGGTTGATGAGCTGGCTCTATGATGTGGCCATGAGAGGCTGCTTCCGCCAGGAACAGCAGCCAGAATTCTGACCGCCGTGCCTGGCGGAAGTGTGTTGAGATTGCGCATACTGTGGTGCTTGTCATAGTGCTGATGCTGGTTATCCTTGTTGGAGGTATTTCTTGCACAGAGGTTAATGGTGTCCCACTGAGGTTGCCATTCAGCGTGGTTGCTGGCCGAGCTCGTAAGGCGTCTTGAATTGCCTTACCAATCCCTGGCCACCAGAGTATTGACCGAGCTAATGCCTTCGTTCGGTGATATCCTTGTGCATGTCATGACGTTCTTGGAGGAAGGCGTCTCGTGCTTTCTCGGGAATTATCACTCTCCCCCCCCCCCCCCCCCCCCCTAACGAATGAGAAAGCCATGCAAGGTGAAGACGTCCCTCTGTTGTCAGAAGGGATGCAGGACTGGGTCCTTTCGTTTCCGAGGCCACCCCTTCCTAATAGTATCTTGAGGTAACACCAAGACTGGATCCTTTGTGGTTAGATCTTCGAGCTGCTTCTGGGAAACTGTACCAGCGTTCATTATGTCCAGTGCCTGTACTCCATGCGATCTATTGTTTTCTTATGTAGTCTTGAGCTGGTCGTGGGGTAGTGGTAGGCGCCTTAGTGCATCTGTATTCTAGTTTGCTTGCCCAGGCTTGTACTGAGTGTTGTATCTGTATGCTCCAACCGTGAGGGCCCAGCGCTGTATTCTGGCCGCTGCAGTGGCAGGGGTTGCTCGGCTTTTTCTTAAAAGTCTCACCAAGGGCTCATGGTCAATTTTGACCGTGAAAGTTCTACTTAGCAGGTAGTCGGACAACTTGGTGACCCCGAAAATCAGTGCCAGGGCTTCTTTCTCAAGTTGGGAATAGTTTTTCTCTGCACTGGTGAGTGTTCTTGACCTGAATCCTATTGGCTTGTTGACTCCGTTGATATTGTTGGACAAAGCTGCTCCAACACCCTCTGGGGATGTGTCACATTCTAGGATCAGTTCCTTTGTGGGGTCATAGTGCACCAGGAGACTTGACCGCAGCAGAGTTGGCTTTGAATTGCTGAAGGCTCCCCTCTTCATTTCAGATTTTGCCGGAGCAGGTTGTAGAGTGGAGCCAGTAGCTGATACATCTGAAGCAAGAACTTCATGAATCCCAGGAATGAGCGAAGCTCGTGTAAATTCCGTGGTGCTGGGGCTGTCATGATGGCTTCCAGTTTTATTCAGATGGGTGAAGTACATCTCTGTCTTTATAGTCCACACATGCGAGTACACAACTTGCATGCTCACGTCCAAACGCACAATTGTCTGTTCTTAGGCGGATGCCATTTTCTCGGAATGCTATGAGCACCTTCCGGAGAGTCTTGCCGAAATTCTGGGGTCCCTCTGCCACAAGGATGTCGCCCCAAAAGACGAGTTCCTGGAACGTCGCGCAGGATACTTTCCATCTTTTGCTGGAACAGAGCAGGTGCAGAGGCATTGCCGTACGGGAGGCAATTGTAGCAGTAGAGCCCCTTATGCATGTTGATCACGTACACCTTCCTGGATTCTTCGTCCAGTGCAATGTGGCAGGACCCATCTTGTAGTTCAAGTTTTGAAAACCAGTATCTGCCCTTCAATGATGCAAACATGTCCTCTATCCAAGGAAGTGCGTACTGTTCCAGATCAAACGCAGTGTTGACCGTCGCCTTAAAGTCGCCACAGATGCAGATTCCTCCGTCTTTTTCGGTAACGAGCACTACTGGGGTGGCCCATTCGGCATGAGGTACGAGTGACAGGTTTCCGTTGTCCCACAATCTGTCCAGTTCTGCAGCCACCTTGTCCTTCAGTGCGTACGGCAGTGAACGTGCTTTCATAAACTTGGGGTCAACATCCTTCTACAAGTTGAGCTGTGCTGGGGAACCCGTCATCAACCCTGTTCCCTCTTCGAACAGATCTTTGAATTCTTTCTTCAATTCCTTGACTGTTACTTCGACACTTATGTCCGGGGTCTGGAGACTGCAAACATGCTCTCATGAAAGAAGCTGGAACTTCTGGATTATGTCGCGACCATACAGGAGTGGGCCAAGATATTCCACTACTTACAGGATCCCGTTTGTCTGTCTGTCACCATACTTCACTGGTAAAAGTAAAACTCCTGCGACATGTAGTTTCCCCAAGTAGCAGAACAAACGTATGTCAATTGGACTGAGTGGAGGCCATGATGCCGCATTCTTGCTGTAGGCCCCCTTCAAGATGACGCACATAGGCGAGCCAGTGTCCAAGAGCATGTCTAGTGTCACCTGGGGAGACTTGATGATTGCCAGCACAGATGACTGTGCCATGTTCACCGGGTACATATGCTGCGATGAATCGCTTGGCCCTTCAAGGTTGTCACCAGTTGACAATCTGTTGGTGTGAGACAGTTTGGGCCGTCATGTCTTCCGTTGGTGAGCCAGGCAGGCATTTGTCAGGTGTCCCTGTTTCTTGCACTTGAAACATGTTGTCGACTTGTGAGGGCAATTGCGTAGTGTATCTAGCTGTGCTGTCCCCACAATGTATGCAAGGTCATGCAGAGCTCTTCTGGGGTTTTTGCTGGGGTCCCTTCTGAAAGTGCCCTTTCCTACCCGTGGCTTGCACTTAGCTGACTTCATTCGCCAGCTGCGGAGGTTGGCTGTGACCGTGTTCGGCAGTTGAGTGGCATTCTCTGTAGCCACTTCAGCAGCTCTTGGCATCCCCAATACCTCGCTGAGATCCAAAGTCTTTGGCTCGGCTAGGAGCACTTTCTTAACCGTCTTGTCCCATAGGCCGATGACAAAATGATCACGGAGGTTTTGCTCGAGCACATCACCAAAGTTGCAGTTGTCCGCAATTTTTGGAGCTCGGCAACATCGTCTGACACTTTTTCACTTGGTCCTTGGACTCGTGTCTGGAAGTGGTATGTTTCGTAAATCTCGGAGGGCTCTGGGCAAAGGTGTTGTGTTAAGAACTTGAGTATTTTCTTGTAGGATTTCTCCAGTGGCATTTTGGGCGCGAGAAGACTGCAGCCGTGCGCACATTCTAGCACCAACCGACGTGAGTAAAATGGATTGTTTCCGCTTGCTGTGGACGATAACATTTGCTTCGAAGGAGGCTTCGAGTTGTTCAGTGTTATTGGTCCACGATTCAGCACCTTGGTCGAAAGCGGTAAGAGTTCCAAATGTCAACAACGGCGGTTGCGGCTGTTGCGACATAGTGATTGAGACGGCGCTAATGGCGCTGGTTGAGTTAACAATAGCATTCACCGCAAATGCAGCCCTCATTACCTTCTTGTCCCACTTGGCGTTAGTGGCATCACAACATCTTCGTAGAACAGCTACTAACATGCCGTTGCTGTGCTCGACAAATCTGTTGCTTGCGGCACGGGTAGGGCCTTCAAACTGCGGAACTCTTGCGACTCAAACTAATTGCCGTGATTTGTTGGGCAATGGTCGGGTGTTCCATATTGATAGAAGACTTTGTACAAGTGCATGACCACTTCTTATGTCGACATTGACGATACCGCTTGCAGGGTGATGAATTGAATGGCAAAATTGATGATAATCAAGATGTACCGAGCAATAATGCTGAACAGTGTATTCGTTGTTGATATCAGGCCCATTCCCCCAACTGATTTTTATGTGACTCTACTGTTTTTTTGACCTACTGAACATGCTTTGATGTATCTAGATACTGCAGCACTCATTCCAGGCCACCATAGCAATCTTGTACTTTTCTGAGCGTTTGTGTGAAGTCCATGTGACCATTACTATTGCGAGTCAGTTCAAGCACTCCTTGACTCGAGAGCCGGAACAACTATGGCATGGCAGGTAGGCGAAACTCGCTTGTCGAGGACATTTTCGACTATCAGAAAGTCTTCACGAAGGGCAGCTTCAAACTGTAAGTGCAAGACGAGGAGAAAGCAAGCAAGAAGGCAAGCGAAGTTTAAAGGATGCGAAATCGCTGCTTGGTTTATTGTGTTACAATGTCCACAGAAAGTCCCCAAAGGCCAGAAGGAGGGACGGTTACCTTTTTCTTTAGTACTTCAGCTGTCTAGTTCGAGAAATCGGCGGTCTTCGGTACTGTAGTTAAATGGCTGCCAGCCATAAGGCTGAGCATCTGGAATGAAGCCAGTGTTGTATTCCGCACCAATATAAAGTCCGATATCATGTTCACTTGTGGTAAAAAGCTGGCAATGTTTGTAAAACGGTTCTCAATGGGGGAGTGTTTGGGTGGAGACAACTGCAACACAATGTCTGGATGGCGAAGTAAGTAGGTAGGTATGTTCGGCATCGGCCAGAGCGATGACGTTGAGAAAGTCTGTGGTGTTAGTCAGTAGATTTATCAGCTAAAGGCTGGCTCTCGAGGCACTCGAGGGCAGTCCAGGCAAGCTGGTACTCATCGGGCAGGGCTATTGTCTGAAGATTGTGACTGTTCTCTGGGGCATGCGAATTCTTCTCTTCTTTTTCGTCGGGAGGCTCACAGTACATTACCTTTCCCGGTATGTGTCCTGTGGTGTTGTTGTACTGGAGCAGTTGCATTTAAAATTGCTGTGGTCGTGGGCTGAGCTCATCAAGTCACTTTGTTGTCATGAGAGGTACCAGTGATTTGTGGTCCATCTCGATCTGAAACTGCAGTCCTAGAATGTACATGCGGTAATGATCACATTCCCGTGTGATCACGAGTGCTTCTTTCTCGATTTGCACATAGCGTTACTCTACTTCATCCAAAGAGCGCGATGCGTAGGCAATGGGAAGCCCCTTGTAGTAAGACTGCACCGAGTCTGTAAGAAAATGCATCTGCTGAAACTGTGAGAGGCTTCTGTAAATTGTAGTGCATTAGAACTGGAGCTTTGGCTAGAGCTTCTTTGACGGTTTCAAAGTTTTGCTACTGGTCGGGTCGGGACGCAGAGAAGGTGCTGCATTAGCTTCGTTGTGTGTGCCAGATTGGTGAAAACTTGGCAAGGTGGGTTGCCATCCCTAGAAAGGATCTCACTTCTC